GGTGGAACGGCAAGCCGCCCAGGACATCGAGAGCTTCGCTTCCCAGCAGCTCGCGGAAGCGGAAGCATCGGAGGGCTTCGCGACTACCCTAAACCCTAAACCCTAAACCCTACATTAACAAGCACACCCGGGGCAGGTGGTCTCGCAGATGCAAGACAAGCAGACCCGGCACCTCGGCAGATCAGGTTTGACCCCCGTCCCTTACACCCCCGTCCCTTGGGGGTTCAGGGGTTTAGGGTTTAGGGTTTAGGGTTTAGGGTTTAGGTCCCTAAACCCTAAACCCTGGACCCTTTAATCCCTTAGTCCCTACACCCTAAGCCCTAAACTCTAGACCCTTTAATAATCCCTTAGGCCCTAAACCCTAAACTCTCGACCCTTTAATCCCTTAGTCCCTACACCCTAAGCCCTAAACTTAGACCCTTTAATCCCTTAGTCCCTAAACCCTTAACCCTAAACCCTGGACCCTTTAATTAAGCCCTGAACTCTAAAACCCCAATGCCCTCGACCTCCAGCCAAAGCCGCACACGCAATCTGCCAAGACTGTTTTGGCTGGAGCTCCAGTCACTATCATGGTGTGTTCTATTCTAGTCTGTTCTGTTCTGTTCTGTTCTGTTCTGTTCTGTTCTGTTCTGTTCTGTTCTGTTCTGTTCTGTTCCTTTCTAGTCCTTTCCATTCTATTCTATTCCTATCCTATACTATCCTATCCTATCCTATCCTATCCTATCCTATCCTATTCTTTCCTAATTCTATTCTATTCTATTCTATTCTATTCTAGTCTAGTCTAGTCTAGTCTAGTCTAGTCTAGTCTAGTCTAGTCTAGTCTAGTCTAGTCTATTCTATTCTATTCTATTCTATTCTATTCTATTCTATTCTATTCTATTCTATTCTATTCTAGTATACTTAATTATATTATGGTCCTGTGCAGGTTGGCGTGCTCCGTTTGCTGTGGTCGGGATCGCTGGATGGTGTGTCACGCTTTTACTGTTGCCGGGATAATCTCGTTTTTCATGTTGACGAGTTGGTCGCACGGAGGATGCACTTTCTGATGGTGTAACCAGTGTAATGAAACACCTAGGTTCTTTATTCATGAAGAGCCTGCCAGATCCAACGATCAAGAGCTCAGCCATGACGTTTCATCCTGGTCTGCACTCACGAAGCCAACCGTCCTTTGCATTTGTTCACAGGGAGTCTGAGTTGGAGTTAAGGAAGCTTGTTGTTGGTGGGGTTGAAGAACTTGAAGATGCTGTGCTGTCCCTGTCCCTTTTCATCGAAACGGCAGCCTAGGGGTTTTTGGATGCATACCCTGGGCCGTCATTGGCACCTTCCTCACGGACTATCTGGCTGTGAACGATGGCATGGGCGTGGCAGGGGCCACCAGTGTGCTGTTCTGCATGGGTGTGGGATTTATCATTGGCACCATTGCTGGAGGCAAGCTAGGCCAGCATTTGTACAAGAAGGACAAGAAGCTGCAGGCGTGGCTGACAGGTCTCACCATGTGGGGCGGAATGCTGCCGCTATTTATCCTGTTCTCTACTGACGCCAGGTGGCACTTGCTTTCAAGTCTTTGGTTTTCTGGTCTGAAAGAGCTGCCAATTCGTAGGTTCAGATTGTTTCAGGGGCGTCCTTAAACGAGAACTGCAGCCCAGGACCGGCCGGATTGGCCTTTCATGTTTCACATTCTGGCACTGGTGGGTGTGTTCTTCGCGGCCTTTTCACCCGTGAACCTCAAGGCCGTCCTCTTGAACTCAGTCGCCACCCAATCCCGTGGCACAGTGAGCCTTGGCTTAACTGCAATTACCAGATACTCCTCCTCCTCCTCCTGCTGCTGCTATTATTATTATTATTACTACTACTACTACTACTACTACTACTACTAAAAATAATGATAACAGAGAAACAGTAGTAATAGCAATACTAGGTAGTCACAAACAACAATAGTAACAACAACAAGTGTAATGACATTACTACTACTACTACTACGACGACGACTACTACTACTACTACTACTACTACTACCACCACCACCACCACCACCACCACCACCACCACCACCACGACTACGACGACGACGACGACGACGACTACTACCAGTACGACGACTGCTACTTCTACTTCTTCTACTTCTACTACGACGACGACGACTACTACTACCACTACTACTACTACTACTACTACTACTACTACTACTACTACTAAGAGCAAAAAACGATAATAACAATAACGATGGTAATAACAATACTAATATCAAAAATAGTAGTATCACAGGACATCAATGGGGCCCATCTTCCCGACTGTAAGTTAGCCTTTTTCTCGGGCGCTTCCAAGCACTTTCTGAGCCACCGCCCTAAACTCCCAAAGAAGGCAAAAAGCGCCCAAGCAAGAATGTCAAGACTGCTCAGAAATGGGGGTGTCCGAAAATAGGGGATCCTAATATAGTACCCTAAATAATGGGATCCTTACTATAAGGACACCAAAATAAGGTACCCCTTATTTTCGGAAACTCCCAAATCGAGGTTTGGGGTCTACAACACCCTAAACCCTAAACCCTAAACCCTAAACCCTAAACCCTAAACCAAACCCCTAAATCGAGGTTTGGGGTCTACAACATCATGGACGACCTTGGCAAGGGTCTCGGGCCCGCCCTGGTGGCGAGCTGGGTCCGGCACCTGGGCCGCCGGAACTCCTTCATGCCTCTCAGCGATGGACTTCGGAGAAGGCTTTGGGGTTTAGGGTTTAGGGTTTAGGGTTTGGAAACTCCGGGCGAAGTGGAAAGCCTGTTGCAAAAGGGTTTAGGGTTTGGGGTTTAGGGTTTAGGGTTTAGGGTTTGTGTGCAGGATCCAGGGTTTTTTGGTAAAGGTCCGAAGCAGTGAGAGTGTGCTTATCAGCAGTTGATTCGGAAGAAGGGTTCGGGGTAGAGGGTCTACTGCGTCGTAGGTGCTGGCCGGCACCTCAGTCCGTGCTGACAAGGGTAAACGTTCAAAGCAGTGAGAGTGTGCTTAATTAGGCTATTAGGGCATTCTGCTGGCGAGTGGTGGGGCGAATTCGCCGATGCAGAAGGGGTTTCGGGTTAGAGGTTTCCGGTTCTCGGTTGAAGAGGGGCTTTGGCACGTAGCAGCCAAGTAGGATTGAGTAGGTCACCCCATTCACCTCTTTGGGCTTGTCCTTCCTGGGGCATGGAATGACATGGACCTGCGAAACAAAGGGTGTTTGAACACTTCGTGCCATGACCCTTTGCCCTTTTTTGTGTCCCCTGCACCCTAAACCCTTCCAAACCCAAAGCAGATGCCAAAAAGACAGACCTAGTATAGGGGCCTTACTAATTAGAATAGGGTTTGGGGGTATATTATGCCATAATTATAATAAGGAACCCCCGCAAACCCTTATTCTAACTATTAAGGGCCCAACAGACCTAAACGCGAAATTAGGCTTGGCATGGCCTTTTGGCTGCCCTCTGGCCTCATTTGTCTGCTCATGGCCCGCACCATTCCACACGACGAGTTGGTGGAAGGCGAAGAGCAGCTGAGCATCCTCCACGAAGGAGAAGAAGTCCAGACGCCTTCAGTAGAAATCTAAGAACTGACAATGTTTCAGAAGGTCAAGCTTCATAAGACTTTGCATGTGATCCGGTGTTGCAGTAGTAACTGAAATTCAACTTCGTCTTTCCGGCCGGTGCTTGAGACTTCCAGATCTTTTTCGGACATTGAGGACTTAGGCGATTCGGATCAAGAGCGAAGCAGTGTCTCCGTCTCGGTAGGCCAGGCCACCATCTCTACAACCCACACCTTCAACCTACTCACACCGGAGTTGAGGGTTGAAGACCCCACATTTGCCTTCGCGGCTAACGCTGTTCAGAGAGAGTTTTAGGATATAGCCCTTTCAGGCTTTTGTAGAGGCTGACTGCAAACCGCTTCTATGCGCCGCTTGTATTTCAGAAGGCAAGGCCAGTGGACTTCAGCTCCGAGAAATGGGTCTGCAGAGCAGGCCGAGCATTGCTTTCATGACAGCTGAGACATTTCGGCAGCAAATGCTGGGAATGACGGATCATGCGATGCAGGGTGTGAGGTTTTTTTAGCAGTTGATCTGATGTTGCATCGTGTTAACTTTACACATTCTTAGACGTGACCACGGTGCAACGAACCCTGCAAGCATCAGGCAAACGATCTTTGCGCGGTAACGCAGATGCGCCCGCAAGTGCCAAGTCAGACACCCTAAACATCCAGCGTCATTCCGCAGCCGCCACTGCCGAGCCGAGCGATGCTGAGCTTGCGCAAGGACCGCAAGTCTTGAAGCTACAGGCTCGAAAAGAAGCCGACGAAGACAGCACCGCATGTCGGCTTTGGGCACAGTGTTTGGTTGTCGGAGAAGGTGGGTGATGTTGTCATGCGCTCGAGCTCTCATTGTCACTCCTTTCCGTCTCCATGCCTCACCCCCCAGCAAATCAGAATTGAAGCGACGCTCCCAGGTTATGCCAACAGACGCTCAACTGCACTAGTGGAGCCCACTAACGGAGAGTTGGCTTTCGTCGCAGAGCTTTGAAAATCTGCGTTGGGCCCACGACACACAGGTTTCAAGGAGCTCGGGGTGCGATGATGCGATGCATAAATATCAGGGCCTTACTAAATAGAAGCTTTTTTGGCATACTATGCCTTAGTAAGATAGGAACTATGACGGGATACTATTAGCAATCATTATGATGGAGACTAACAGGCATCTCCTTGCTCCACACTCTGCACATTTTCGAGAGACTCGGCCCAGGAGTAGCATCCCTAATCTTGAGACCCAGCTCCTTCAGAAAACATCATCGGCATCGAGCAGTTCGGCATCGCCACACCCCGAGAAGCTTGGCAAGCATCGTGCATGGAAGCGGGATGAGCTTGGTGCCCAACTCGGTTCTCAGAGGCCGCGAGATGCTCCATGTAAAGGGCCAGACCACGGTTTAGGGTTTAGGGTTTAGGGTTTAGGGTTTAGGGTTTAGCTGACCAATTCCCGAGCCGTCCGTGCTGTCAGGAATGCATGATCAACTGCCAGCGCCAGCGAGGCATCTGCAACTGCTGGAGCTGGCGCCCGGGCCTGCAAGGGAAGGTCGAGGGTTGGCATGGCAGTTACTTCGAGGTTCATTGGTAGCTATAAGTGGGGTTATAAGTCCCCTAATATGGGCTATAATTAGAGTCACCCTACTTCTAACCCTACTTATAACTACCCATGAACCTCCAAGTAGGGTCAGCCGAGCAGGTGCAAGTCACAGCAATTTCCTGACCTTCCCCGGCCGACTCTCCAAGCCCGGATGCAAAAAAGGGTCAGCCGAGCCTTTATGGGTTCACCCTAAACCCTAAACCCTAAACCCTAAACCCTAAACCCTAAACCCTACACCCTAAACCCTAAACCCTAAACCCTACTCCGAAGAGCCCAAGCTGAGGAAAGACGACGGCTTCTGCAGAACTGGCTCTGCTCTCCGGTGTACGTACACCGCCAGCGAGGTGCGGCACCTTTCCCTGGATCACGGTTTAAGGCCGTCGTCTTTCCTCAGCTTGGGCTCTTCGGAGTAGGGTTTAGGGTTTAGGGTTTAGGGTTTAGGGTTTTCCTTATCTTCCCGGAATGTGCAAGCTGTCAGTCGGTCTCAAAGGGCGGCTCAGAAGGGCGAAGCAGTTCGGGGCTTCTTTCGGGCAGAGGCCTGTTGCTGTCATGTGGGTGGTTGTCAAAATTCTGGTCCCTTTTTGGGTCCTTATTATAATACGGCACCTATTATTTAGGGTACCCCAAACCCTAAACCCTAAACCCTAAACCCCTATTATTTAGGGTACCCCAAAAGGGGCCCTAATTTTGACAACTACCCATGAAGCTGGAAGCTCGCAAAGGTGCCAGGAGGCAAGGCTCATCTAAGGAGACCCCCGCCAGGCATTTAAAAAAGGAGGGTTCTAAAATTGTTGTTTTAAAAGCCACGAACTCCTAAACCCTAAACCCTAAACCCTGAACCCTAAACCCTAAACCCTAAACCCTGAACCCTAAACCCTAAACCCATTGATTCTTATTGCTGCAATTCTCCTATGGGGGACAGGACGACGACCGGTGGATGTTTGGCACCTGTCCGCTTCGAGGCGGTCAGGCAAGCGGTTTCGAGATTGCAAGAGTTGCATGCCTGGCATCGACCTAAGCATTAAGCGTCGGTGTTGCAAGCACGATTTTGGCGACTGTGTGGCCAAAAGCGTTAATTTGCAACCAAGCGGGCTGATTTTTTCGGGCAGTACCGCTTTCAACAAAGATGAACATATCGGACCACCTGTCATTGGGGGCTGTTGGGTCATTTATCGGCTTCTCGTAGTGCTTTACTTAAAGTACTTTAGTTTAAAGTACACCTGTAGCAATATTTTTTGTGTAGCAGGTGTTCTTGAACTTGAACGCCTCAGACATCCTTCCGAGCCTCGACATGCGAAGCTCGCAGAGAACCGGAGCCCGTAAGAGCCACAACAGAAACCCCTAAACCCTAATCCCTAAACCCTAAACCCTAAACCCTCACTGCGGCGCAGGTCGCAGATGCAGCGCCCCCGACGCCAGCCGAACCTGCGAAAGTGCAGGACCTGCGAGGCTCAATATACCTGGAGGTTCATGGGTAGTTATAAGTGGGGTTATAAGTCCCCTAGTATGGGTTATAATTATAGTTACCCTACTTATAACCCTACTTATAACTACCCATGAACCTCCAGGTAGGGTTTAGGACTTGTGCGTGTTGTGGTGGTGATCTCAGGCGATTGCACCAGTCCTGATGCAAAAACGGGCACAAGTCCTGATGCAAGCAAACACTGGGCGTTTTTCTTGTGTGCAGAAGTCCTACAACTCGTTTTGTTGCCTGGAGTGTCATGGATCTGAAACCGGCACTTTGCAGCAAGTTTTATCATATTTTGTCGTTGGAAGGGATGCCGGGCCGGGAGCACATGGATCTTTCGTCTTGATCTGGGATTCTACCTGCAGACTCGCGCTTGGAATGGGAACCTTCGAGTCTTCGGGGATGATGTAAAAAGGTTAGAACGACCCTCATCATGTCCAGTTGCACAAAGCCACGCGGAGCAGAGTAGCCCCAGGCCCAAGTCGAGCAGTGCACCACTTCTCTTCGTCCAATCCATTATGCCGCTTCTATATTAGCATGTGGCAGATAGGGCATGCGCTAGCCAAGTCTCGTGATTTAGTGGCTGACCGTGCGCATCGCGAACAGAAGTCTTCGCACTTTCAACAGGAGCTAAAAAAATCAAGCCCCAACGCCGAGTGAAGGCGTCATGAGCAGCAGCGGCATCGAGACCCAGCCGACGAGACCGCCATCACAAGCCCCCAGCTGGGCAGATGCGAGGGTGCCAGCGCCCGTGCCCGCCTTGGGCAGCGCCTCTCAGGCGAGGACCGGGAGCGGATAGCTTGCAAGAGAAGATGTGGAGACATCCCAAGGACAACTGCAAGGATGACACCCTGAAGCACGAATCGCGTCAGGAAGAGACGTTTCACATGCTCTCCGGCTTCAGGGGTGCCTTGCGGCCCTTGGGTCGTGAGTTTACGAAGCTCTGTCAAGTGTTTCCCAAGTGAACAGGCCGTGGCCCAGAATGCAGCCGCTGAGCCTCGCACACAAGCCATCCCCGTGGCGACGCCCCTCCCTTCACGAGACGGAGCTTCGGCCAGTGGAAAGGGCTTTGAAAGGTTTTGACTTAAGTTTGAGAGTTTGGATGGCAGGGTTTAGGCGGATAGTCTGGGGTCCTGGTAGCGTGGGAGGAGGCTTTACCGTTCGAGGCCCAACAGTGATTACGGTCCCATTTGTATACTCTTTTCGACTTTGACGTGCTCAATCTTTGTCATGCCAATACAAAGACAGCCAGAACAGAAGATTCGCAAAGGTGGGTCGCCGACACTCGCCACCGAGCCTCCTCCAGTTTCCGCTGAAACGTGCCCGGCTCCCTGTCCATTTCAGCAGGAGATTATCAAGGCACACACACAAACACGCACGCGTGTGTATGCATGTATGCATATATATATATATACATATGTGTGTATTCTACGTATTTTTGTATATGTTACGCTCCCCGTGCCAAAGGTACCCAGCTAGAGCCCTGCTCCCGAAGAGAACCCTGAAAGCCAGCACCATGGAGTTCAGCGAGACAGAAACCGGATTGTGTGCATATCTTTGCCTGGAAATGGCTCGAGACGACTTTTTGCTCGGATCTGTGCACTTTGAAAACGGGGTTCTTCACAACGAGGGCCTCCATCTGCAGGATCTGTGGAAAGCATGGGACCGTATGAAACTCTCCTTGGGGCCCGATGCTCCTATGGCTGTGAGAGCTGCGCCACCTCCCTGACAGTGTAACAGTGGCCACCGAGAGAGGTTCTCATGATCACTCACAAGCGTGCCAACTACCTCCAAAGGCCCCGGCATCTGTGGGAGTCGGATTTGACGGTTCTTCAAAGTTCCGCCTTGCGTGCTCGGTGCTGGAACGCAAGAGGTTTGTCCTGACAGTGGGTACCGTACTGGAGAGCCAGATGCCAAGGATTTTGAGCGAAGGTGTTGATCTAAAAGACTTGGACGGCAGCCCTCACTTGCAAACTCTCAGCATTGCCTGCGCCTCGACTGGAGATTCCGAGATGCGAGAACCCCAACTGCCAGTGTTGCGTGGCTTACGGGTTTCGAGTGGCAGGGTGATCATGGGTATGATTACATAAGTGCTGAGCTTCCTATCATAGTGTAATTGTGTTGCTCGCGGACCAACTGCGAAGCAGGTTCAAGCGAGAGAGCAGCTTGTGCTGAACCCCCCAAGACTGTTCTCGCATATTCCTGAAACGGAAATCGTTAGGTTCTGACAGCTTGAGAGCCCAAACTCCAAACCATACGATCCCCAAGCTCATTCCCCAAAGTAGGAGAAACTTGTGCAGGGCTTTGGCCTCGATCTTCCAGCAGAGATCGGATCCTGCCCGTTATCCCGTCATTGCCTCGCAGGACACCGTCTTGTCCGTTTGAAGCTTTCTGCTTAGCCCGGCGGCGATGCGATATTCTGCCACGACGGCTTTGAGAATCAACATTGCAAGGAACAAGCAGACAAATGATTGCGCCTGAACAACAGCACGGCTTTCTGTACCTTGCCTGCCGAAGCCAGCTCCCAATTGGACCCAGTGTCAGGACGGCGACGATGCGGAGGTGTTGAAGACCTTACAGGAATTCTTAAGGTCAGGAAGGTTGCTGCTGGGACCTCCCAAAGTTTTTCAGGCTTATCCCACTGCGCTGCTCAGGCAAGTCGACTGTGTTTGTGCAGCCTTTGTCTAACCCGAGCCCCGAACCGGGACAAGTTGCACACCTGTTTGTAAGGAGCTTTCTACTACCCAACACACTGAAGCATAACCCTTGGACTCTCCAATCTCCTCTCTCTCTTTGTCCCCTCTGTCTCTCTCTTTCTCTTTATCCTTTTCTTTGTCCTTATCTTTTTGCCTTCTGTTTCTCCCAGCCCCAGAGTTCCAGAGCTCAGCATCTGAGGTTCAAGCGTTTGCAGTTTCAGCCCAAGACGCCGCTCTGCAGAAAAGATACCACAGCCTTGACGGCCGCCCTTCTCTATCCACATCCTCGTCCTGATCGCCATCGTACGATTGCTAAGCGTCGTCCCTACCATCATCATCCTGATCACTGTCACACCATCCGAGGAAGCAGTGAGTGAGCGTGAAGTGTCAGTTTGGCATCATCAACCGTCCAACCGTGAAGCTTTGATGGCACTGTGGTCGAACGAACCACCAGAAATTGCGTGGGGATGGGCGCATCCACAACAACTCAGGGCAGCTAATTTGTAGAGACTCGCATGCTGGCCAGATGCAGCAAGGCAAGTTTGCAGATCTTTCTGGCGCTGTCTTAGACCCTGGTAACCGGCTTGCCCAAGTGTGTGAGTGTCAAAAACTCGTGAACCCTTCAAGGCCCTAATTCCTGAAGACCGAGGTTTCTGCCGACGGGCTACGAGCGCTTATCGCGCCATTACGGATGGGCGCTTGGGCAGGTATTCGACACTTTTGGCCTCCTGGCATTGAGACTCTCTCGGTCCCTAGAAGCGACTAGAACATCGAGGGGGCCAAGGCCTAGATAAGGGCTTGCGAGGCTCAGCTCAAGTCCTTCGGTTCAGGGATTCAAGCAGTGATTCAAGCCATTTTGGGAAGTCGACTTGATTGCTCAGAAGAGATTGAACTCCGTCCTGAAGCCGGTTACTTCAAGTTGCAAGTTGCAACCCGCCGGCCAGCAAACGCATGCACATTCTACTCTTTCAAGGTCGGCCCTTGAATACTGTCTGTTCAACACTGGGCGTAGTCGTGAGACTGAAGTCACAGCCAAGGATACCAGCAAGCCATCGTGTTGGAGGAAGACCTAGCACCTCGTATTTCAGATGAGACCGTTTTCATACTGAAAAGGCTGGTTTCTGAGTGCATGCCCCCTTCTGTACCATTCATATCAACTCCAAACCCCAAGTTGACCCATGTTGCATGCTCCACTCGCCTTCGAAGCTCTCGGATCCCTGAGCTTTGCAAACCGCAAGCAAGATGGGTACTTCGAAAGCTTGCCTTCGCTTGCCGATGGAAAGACGACATGTTTCCGACCCTTTTTACCACTGCCGTCACCAGAAATGACGGGTGCAATCGTGTTTTGCCAACAACCGGAACCAACAGACTTCGCCTGTGAGTTTCCTTCGAGCGGGGACCGGCTTTGCTGAAAGCTGCTTGAACTTGGGTGGGACGGCCCGGAGGTTTCGCTGGGCAGACACTCCGAAATTATCTTGGGTGGGAGTTTCCCGTCCTCAAACATATTGCCCGTAGGCCCAAGTCTCAGCATCCCATCCTTGACGCCAGCTGCCCAGGAGATCTCGCCCGACTTCTTCGCCTTCTTCGATGCCACGCGACCGCTGCTTGTGGCTGACCCAGCGACCGGGCACATTGAGCTCGAACCCCCAGCCCGAAGATACCTCTGGGTTTCGCTCGTGGGCGGGTCCTCAGGGTGGGAGGAGGTGACTTCAGCAACAGCTCTTGCAATCAAGTCCTTGGTGCGCTACCGCTACATGCTGAAGTTCCGAACCCTACAGCCGCACACCCCGAAGCCTCAAGCCTTGGAATCCCATCACGATCCCAAGACGATGTAGCCGGAGCAAGCAAGGACCTCTTTTGCGTTTCTGCTTGGAGTGACAATGGAAAGCCAGACGAAGCCTGGCATGAATAATTAAGAATAATTGATAATAATTAATATTAATTAATTAATAATAATTAATTAATAATAATTAATAATGACTAGTAATGATTAATAATAATCGGGATCTGTGCTACTGTACACGGGCTGCTACAAGGCCTGCTATATGAGTTCACGAAGTTTGGGACCTCGTGGTTGAGGGCAATATGGAGGCCTCAACAATTGGGACCACTCTTCTGTCAGGGTCTTCGTGAAGAATTACTTAGAATATAGTAGACCTCGGAGCACTATCTTAGTCATGAAGGCGCCCCTATTCAAAGTTTCAGAACTGACGGGGACCCGAGACAGACTCTGTACTGTTGGATCCTTATTCTATTAGAAGCGCTCTTTTGCGTTGGGTTTGAGTGGGTTGACACCTTCGTGGGGTGTTCTCTGCATTGGACTTCGAGAGCATCTTTCTTACGTTTCAGCCATACTGAGAAGACATATCTGTTCAGGAGTAGAGAAGACCGGAACCCTGATGTATCCTGTTAGATTCCCCGGCTTGAGGTTGCCAGCAACGTCACTGCTGTGTACCGGTCGGACTTTTTTCCTGGCCTTGGGTGGATGCTGCTACGAAGCTTCTGGGAGGAGGTGAAGGCTCCCGGGTTTGGTGTGAATCCTCCGGGATTAATATAGGGGTCCAAGCAATTCCCTATACTATTTTGGGGGTTCCCTATTATGCTTATAGTATATTGGGCCCCAAAGCCCTATTCTAATTAGTAAGGCTCCTATATTAAGTCGGAGGCTTTCCCGAAGTAAGGCTGACCATGCAACTTTAGACCTCGCAGAAGGACCACGACGAATGAGATACTTGTAGGACAAGATCCAGCCGACCCTCGCGTAAAGGGAATGGCGGAGGCAGTCCCGGCAGGTGCCACCTCTCCCTCCTCTCCGTGTCCCTTCGTTGATACTGCACAAGAGACTGTTCACTACAGTTCGAAAGTTTCAGCAAAGAAGGGCACAAGGGATTAGCAGGACTTTATTGTAAGACCCCCAAATAAGATATCCGCTCCCTTAAGAACCTGTATTCTCAACTAGCCCGACAGTAAGAAGCACGGACAATCAAAGAAACACTTCTGAACAACCATGTCTGGTATACACTCAAGCTGCAAGATGCGCAGATAACAGGCGGCCTGGCGAGCGAAGTTTAGCGGATCTTCTTGTAGTACTTGTTTCATCGACCGGTGCTGGCTAGGCCGGAGCCGTGTCGCCCGTCATATTAGGCATTTGCTGTCAGCTTGGGATCTTCACCGCTTTGTCTCTCCGAGTCGCTCCTCTCCCCTTCCTCGTTGTCGCCTCTGCTGGTCGTGACGCACGTGACTCAAGTTGCTTGGAGGTTCATGGGTAGTTATAAGTGGGGTTATAAGTCCCCTAATAGGGTTTTAATTATAGTTATCCTACTTGAAACCCTACTTATAAGTACCCATGAACCTCCAAGTGTACTGTCCTTACGTAGCTGTGGCGGCCGAAGAGCTTGTGAGTTGCCACGAGCAGAACTCGAACGAACTTGCATCCCCGCACTCACGGGTCATATTGTGTCATGCTTGCTGTAGTGCCGCTTATGCCTGTTGTTCACTGTTATTCCTTGCATGGTGCATGTGCGCTCTGTAACTTGTTGGTGACTGGCAGTGAGAAGGCACAGCGCACGAAGATTTTTGCTGGTTGAGCGTACGCGGCATCGCAAAGAAGCGTTACCTCATTAATTTGAGGCCTTAATGGCATAAGCTTGCCGCAGGATAGATGGCCTGCAAAGTACTGGGATGACTTCTTGCGCCGGGCAGATGTTCGTGACTGGTCCGGACCTCCCAAGGGCTTGTCAAGCTCGGGAATTTTGGTTTCAAGATCTAGAATCGGGCCACTCGAAGACATAGGTTCGATACGCAGACTCCAAAGCCCTCTTTCCCATGCTTTTAGCAGTCACTAGCAGTCACTAGTATTATGCTTCACGCCGTCGTCATCATCATCATCATCATGTTGTCATTACTGCGATCATTACGGCTACTCTTCTTGTTCTCATCGTTTTCATTGTTGCTGTATCTTGACTGTCATTCTGATAACGATCAGACTTTGATCTAGACCCCCGGTTACTAAGATGTCTAGCTTAATGAGGAGAGTATACTAGGGATCCTGATGTTAAGGCCTTTCGTTTATTTGTCAGGGGTCTGCCTTTAAAGCATCATAAAACACCATCAAGCACCAGTTTCCTTTCTCACACTCCGTAAATGCGCTGGCCTTTGGTTTCTCATGCGGGGGGCTCCTGGTAAACATCGAAAAACACAACACCCTATATATATATATATAAACATGTAAACTCTATTCCCTTCTAAATCCCATATAAAACCAATATAAACCCTTACAAAACCCTTACTAAAGCCATTTGAAGCCCTAAATTGCATTGTGTGATTGGTGCTCGCGTTTGTTTGATTGTGCTGCGCTTGAATAGTGCGAGTACGGAGAAGCCAAACTAGTTGCAGGCCCACTGCTCCTGACAGACCTCGCCTGGCATGTTGGAGTTGCGAGAGCGTAAACCTCTAAAGAGTCTCTAAACCCTACCGTGCCTTGTGCGAGTGCGAGAGTCGAAACTCAAAAGTATCCAGCCCCAGTAGCTCCCGTAGGGGCCAAGTCTGATGGCTAAGTGCAAGGAGCCTTCGGCAAGGCTTTAGGGTTTAGGGTTTAGGAAATGCCGTGATGCAAGGATCTGTCTAGTCCCCAAAGCCCAGTTGCAAAAAACCCTAAACCCTAGACCCTAAACCCTAAACCCTCGTCCTTGCTAAGTAGGAGGCAAAAAAACCCCAA